TCGCAAATCTGCTACAATCTTTATATTCATTTCTATCATACCATTTGCATTTATGAAAAATCATTTACGAAATAGCCTAAATTTCATTAACCTCCATCAAGTAATTTGCATTCCTTACTTCATTACTTGGGCTTACTTTATCATCATCACACTTAGAATATAACTTTAAAGGTTTAGTAATCAAACTCTGTAGAATTTATTTTTTAAAATTGTATATATCTGACTATAGATTTTCCAGCTGAATCTTCATGATTGCGCTAATCTTCCTATCATTCTATAATTGTGTCGTTCTTATGAAAGCGATGTATGAGTTTATACATGGAATGGTGCCTTGTATAATTAAAATGGACAAATAATCAAAAGTAATATGCTATCTTTTGCATTTCTTTTTTCCCCATGACGTGTGCTTTTATATAGAAATAAAGTCTTACTGCAAATAATTTCACTGTGAGTCAAATCTCGCATCCAAAAATAGATTTCTCAGCTTTGTAAAAAAATTAATTGAAATACAAAGAAAATTAATTTTGCTTACATGCATTGCTTTTGTCGCACCTACAAGAATAACAGAATGGAGATACTGATCTCTAAATTTTACCCCACATAGAATGGTTTTGAAAGATCTTTGTTTATCTGAGTATGGTAGCATACAGGTCTTGCAATTTTTTTTCTTTCAACACAAGCAAATTTATAAAACTATAACTAGATTATAAATACAACTGCATTTAAGCAGTTAATGCTGCAATACATAAATATCCCAACAACTGTTGCAATAATAACAGTTACGGAATAAGCCTTCTGAAAGTTCACATTTATTATTTCATATTATCGTAATTTGGATTAAATGTATTAATGTAACCTCCTTGACACCTGTGTTTGATCAGGTCATCTGCCATGCTGTCTCTTCCTCTGTTAGTTTCTTCTGAATCTTACTTGATTTTAAGTTAATGTATCTCTTTGCAAAACTGACCAAATCAGTGATGTGATAAAACTTATATTAATATACACTTGTTCCATAGCATTATTCATAGTCATACAGGTAATGCTAGTATCCGTTTTGATAATGAGAATAAGAAAAAACATTTTTCATTGAAGTTTAATATTCCTTTACAAGAAACCTAAAGTCAGCATGTTTTGTAGCTTTTGGTCAGTTTCTGTTAATTTGCCAACTGTAGTCAGAATGTATAAACATGGCTAGGGTGACTTCAGTATTCATGATTCAATGACCACTTTTCGGTTATCCCTCAAAGCACATGAAAATAGAATATGCTGTAGTGCATGGAAATTGCTCTTATATTATTTCTTAATATTCTCATGCCTCTATATTGATAGGGTGTAAGACGCTGAGGTATAAAAAGGTATGTTCTTATACTCTGTCAAATATAAGTGGAATCTTAATTTTAATCTCTGACCTATTTGTAATGTGAATCCGTCCTTCGACACACATGCAGATTACATTGTACCAGCAAGCAGCAGTGTCACCCCTTCATTTTATCTTTTTTCAATTGGCTCCCATAGTTCATTATTATTAGCATTATTACTTCATAATGATTATGAAAATGATGTTCATTCTAATTAGATGCATTCACACTGCATGGTGTAAATATGTAAATGCAGTAAGAAAATTATATTCAAGAATTAGGATCAGTTACTTTTGCTGTTCAAATAAATATTATGAGTGTCACAAGTAAGAATAAACTTAATGTGATATATAACGCATAAGTTCAGTGTATATTTAAGTGACCATCCCTAAACCACAAAGAGAGACGATAATTTGTTCTCCAGTGGTTTCAAATATTTCAAACATACTCTTCCCCCTAATTCTCTTCTGTAGGTATTCCATATTGACGTTTGAGAAAGTTATATTTCATTGCAGAGTTTTCTACATCAGTATAGAAGTCACAAATTCTTTCATATGGCAAAACAATGCAACTTGCTTTTTTTTAATTAATATAGACTTGATGTCAACTTGTGAAAAAGATATTCTGTGAGGGGAGGCTTTATTAGTAATTTCTTATCATTGTAAATTCTGATTTACATTTCCTTTTTAATTACTGACTTGTCATGACTGCACTAGTCACAGATGAAGAAATACTTTAAAGATTTTTATACTTTAGAGATTTTAGATCCAGGTAACATGACCATCTTGTCATGAAAAAATTTGGTCAGGTGATGGGAATGTACTGTCAAGAAAAAATTGGCTGATGGCCAGGGTGATGGGAATGACTCAGCATGAGTACACAAAGATCTTGGAAGATGATTTGACTCTGTGGGCATTTTGGAAGGGGCTCTTACATTATTCCCACTAGTGTAATGTAGCATCCATGACCTATGGTTGAAAGAGCACCAGTTCCAGGGAGGACACTATTTCTATGCTCAGGAAGCATTACAAAATATTGAAAACAAAAATATTATAACTCACTCAAATAACACAAAGCAACTTTTTGCTATTGTTGCTGCACAGAGTTGAGACTACCAACAGAAATAATGGTCTGCTGAAGGGAAACAGTCTATTACCGTAGAAAATGGCAAAACAGCAAAAGACCTATGCAGAAAAAGAGATAATAACACAGCAGTCTTGCTAAAGCTCATGAGTGTTTGTATAGGCTGGGTATACAAGAGACAAATCTATGAAATATGTCACTCAGGTAAGCATAATGCCTGGAGTTTGGTACACACACAACATGGGTTAGTTGAAGAATAATCTGTAAGGTCGGAGGTTGACCCTGACACTGTCAGGTTGTTCAGACATTCAGTCTGCCCATGTTTGTCAATTTATTTCAAAAAGTAGAAATGACTATATAACTATGGGTGGAAAGATAAGAAAGATCTGTCCTGCAACATATGATTTTTTTGTATATACTATTTACTTTCCTTAGCATTTAGCCAGTAAATCAGTCATAGCATTAAGGGAAAAAAATACATTTAAAATACATATAGTTTATTCTACCTGCACGACTACATACATTTTATAACACACAAATAAGAAATAAAGTACATCTGCTTAACAGTCATCAACAAGATCAACGTACATAATCATTTCCAATTTTGTTTTCACTGACATACTATAAGTATGTTACAGTTCTTGGGGCAAAGGAGGAGTAAAGTATCAATAATGTTTTCCTTTGTAAATGTGTGGTTATGAGATTTTTTACCTTTAACTTATGCATCAACGATAAGTAATTATCGTTCATGTGGTAGGTAGTCACTGTCCACTCTTTACTACATGGTAATAGGCTCTTTGTATAAAAAGTCAGCAAAGCACATCATACCATCTATACTTTACAAACACTCTGGAAAAATATAAGACAAATTACCTCTGCTTCCATTACGAAAATAAGGATTATTAGATTACCTGCAGAACCCTGGTAGGTTAATCTTAATATATACACATACAGTATGACTTTATAGTTGTTATGAGAATGAATGCAAGATGTATCCTCAATTTCAAGATTTCTTCTTGACTTTTAGATGACCTGACACAGTTGATGCTTAAAAGAAGGCTGGCAGAAACAGAGTATATTTTTCATAATACTACACAGAAGTAAACAACAAAAATAAATAAGTCCACATTGAATCAGGAAGCTGATGAGTCAGATGCAAATAATACCAATACTAATGATAATCTAATTGTTTTTATTTTTCAAGAATGTCTAGAATTGATGCAGATGTTTACCAATGAGAATACTGAAATTGGAGATGGAAGGAGATCTTTTGGCATCTATTTTTCAGATAGGGAAAATGGAAATAATACATAAATACTCAAATTTATACAACAAAAATCTCTGCTTTGATGTGTGTGGGTTGGGGGGGAATCTATCTCATGCATTTCCATTAGAGTACAGAAAGTATGAAATGTTGGGACTACTGAGGCCGTAAACTAATAATCACAGGCATTTAGTGCTACAAAAATGGGCCAATGTAAGAGATAATAGAGATCTTGCCTGAAAGAAACTAAAATTTGAAATAAAAAGAAAGTTTCTTTTTTATTCAACTAGAGTGGGGACTAACACCAAATAACTATATAAGGTATAGAGAGAGAAAGTAAGTTAACAAAAAAGAAAAAAAGAAGAATGTTAAGCAGCACTAAATATTAACTCTTTATGATAATCATACCAGAGACTGAGCTATTTTACCCACAGCCTGATTTTAACTACAGAGTTGAGATAGTTTCTGAACTTAGACAAATTTGATTTCCTATATGTACTCCCACAGTGAGATCTTTGTATAACTTGTAAGATCAAAATAGTTCTAACATTTGGTTTTGAACTCAATGTGTCTTCATAACTTAATCTTAATATTCATCAAAATAGTTGTGGAAATACATTAAATGCAAAACCATCCACTAATGTTACTGCAACTATCTGAACTTTTCTATTATCATGGGAATTAACAAAATAATTTCCTTTGTTAACAACATGGAGTACATTTAACACATGAAGCTCTGCGGTTATCATACACAGCTGATGCATCTAACAATGGAGAAATATTCCGCAATACTGAGCTTGGTATTTTTTTCAGCAGTCTTCTTTCTAAGGGTTGGGTTCAAATTCTGAGAGATCTGGCCACTCCCAGGTCTTTGGTATGGCAGAATTGTCATCGTAGTTATAGTCATACATTTGTTCTGAGATAAACTCGGTCAAGTCTTCTGGTTGAGGATAAGTTGATGCAATACCTGAAATCCAAAACACATCTTAGTATATGCTTCTATTTCAGTGATACATAATGTAAATGACATAATTGTAAATGACATAAGACAGGAGTAACAATCATGAATAGACATATATGTGACAAGGGACACAAAACACAGTAGTACAGTAAAGTGTAGATGGATATCAAGATGAGTCACATAAACAACCAAATCAGACCATTTGAACATGCTATTCTATACCATCTTATGCATAGAAAACAGGCATCAAGAATCAATTTTATCCACACAAAAAACATAATATACTAAATATGTTTGCATTGGCGAGAAGAGTTGATGAACCAGCATATCAGTC